CTGCATTACTTCTGAGCATAGTGCCGGTGGTCCAGCCCTGATCGTTCTGGAGTGATTCTGCTGAAATGGAGCATATGTGGCCAGTGCAAGGACAGACAGCAACTGAAATACACTATTCACATTATCAGGTCCGGTCAGATGTCTTATATTCACAACAGGACAGTTTGCCTAGGGCACATGTCTCATCATTCAAATGTTTTCTTGTTGTATGTTGAAGCTGTTAAACTGTCATCTGAGGCTATCTTTAAATGCTGTGGGGTTAGATTTCTCTTTGCTAGTATGGTTTTATACATTAAGCAGATGGTGCTTAAAAAACATAGTGTGTTTTTATAAAATCAATCACACATGTTGCTATTCATATTCTCTGTGGAGTAAATGCAGGAACAACTTTACTGAGTGGGCAGAAGTACACGCTTTTGCATTTTCTAATGACACAAACTAAACAAAAAAATAAGTAAAAAATTAAATTTGATCATTTAAAGCTTTTAGTACCTTAAAGTGTAGCAATGAATTCTCATTGGCAGTCAGCTTTTTAGAGGCAAGTAATTTGCTGATTAATTTTAAAGAGGCATGATTTTCAGAGTTTCTAACTTGCAAGTGTCTTGACTTTCTATTGGGATTAATTTATATAAAGTGATCTAGTAAAGTGCTTAGCTCTTAAGTGTCAAAATAACTAATTTTCTAAATATACCTCAACTTTATCCTTTCGGAGTTTTGTTTGCCAGCAGGTAATTGCTTAATGGGATTACTCTGAGCTGATTTCTGTCTAGGAGGTCCTCTCTGCTACACTATCCTGAAGAGATGTCTCTCCAGCAGCATTGTTGAGACGATGTCTAATAAGCGCCTTAGAGCTGTAGCTGGTGGTCGTGAAGTAAAGCTCCTGTTTTGTGGACAACTGTTTCTTGAATGAAATGACCAATCCATTTTCTTGAAAATTGATCTTTTGTGAATGAAATGTGAAATAAGCCTGTTTTGACTGTTGTCTAAAACATATGAGAACAAGTCACAAGTCAGAGTCCTGCTGTTTGAAGCACTTCACCCCTACACTCCTTTTTGTTTTCAACAGTGGAATCAGCATTAGACAATTTTCCTTCATTTTTAATGTTTTCAAGAGTTATCAAATGAAGTCTAAGGAGTGGTGTCTTCCATCTTTTCTGGCTGATTAATTTCTTGGTTGTATGCTTTTTCCACAATTACATCTGAATTGATAAAAAGTGGCTGGTATTTTTTTTTCAGAGTGAAATGAGTTCATAGTAAAACTGAAGATCTGTCTTGAGCAGTTTTAAATAGGGTCTTCAGCTTTTTAGAAATGTGTACAACAGCCATTTAATGTAGCAGAGAACCACCAGAACTCCATGCAGAAGCAGGACAGAATGGTGATTTCAAAAGCAGTACCAGTTAGAGAGTGTAACTGAGGGAGGATGTGATGACTCACACTTGTAATGCAAGAGAAGGCAGAGGCTGGAAGGCTGCTAAGATCCAGCTTGTTCTGCACAATTGAGTTCCAGGCTGGCTAGAGCTACATATCGTAAGAGGACTGGTCTCAAAACAAAACCATGCATATATACATACTGTACAATATACATGTACATATATGTCTTAGTTCAGTTTTACTGCTGTGAATAGACACCATGACCAAGGCAACTCTTATAAGGACAACATTTAATTGGGGCTGGCTTACAGGTTCAGAGGTTCAGTCCATTATCAAGGTGGGATCATGGCAGTGTCCAGACAGGCTTGGTGCAGGAGGAACTGAGAGTTCTACATCTTCATCTTTTTCTTTCTTTCTTTCTTTCTTTCTTTCTTTCTTTCTTTCTTTCTTTCTTTCT